AAAAGGAAGTAAACACTGTAACCAACAGGGCACTCAGTATTCTGGGAAGTTTGTGTGCATTGGGAATCATATTTTTCAAATAAATCCAAGGCAACACTCATTTTACATACAGCACAGTGAAAATGACATGAATATGACAGTGGGCAAATGCATAAAGAGCAGCATAATTTCAAATCACGAATTTAATGTTTAAAGCATTCGATTTGCACGGACCGAAAGTCACGCAGAGAACACGCGATCATGCAGGTCACATGCACACTTCACAAGATCTCACAACTGGATTCGACTAAGTTTGCAAGGTTTGTGAAATAAAATTTTCATTAGCCATTCAAAGATTTGTTTAAATGATGTAAATGCGTATTTGCTGAATGCTGACGGCAAACGAGAAAGTATAATGTTTGCCAAGAGCTTGTAACACTCTAAAGAGAAAGGAAAAAATGAAATCGCATCATATGACCCCTTTAAGAATCCTGAAAAAATGCATCATGGTTTCCACAAAAATTTTAAACAACACAATGTCATGTGACACTGAAGACTGGATTAATAGCTGCTGAAAATTCAGCAGGAATTAGGCTAATAAAATTTTTAAATATATCAAAATTGTAATACTATTTTACAATATTACTATTTTTACTGCATAAATACATGCGGCCTTGGTGATTCCTAAGAGACTTCTTTTAAAAACATTTTTAAAAACCCAAACTTTTTGAACAGTAGTGAATGTGCACATCAACAACATTTCATTAGACATTAGCCATATCAGAATCAGCCACTGAACAACCAATTCTGATCAACCATTACTAGACTATGCTAGTCTGTTTTACAGAAATTCAAACTAACAAACATTGCAAAAACTTGAATGCTCAGTGAATAAGAGGTAAACATACAGGATGAACAGAGATGCTCTTCTTCTGTTCCAGCTTGAACTCGCCGTCTGAAAACCAATCCAATAGCCCAAATTGTTCCCTTGCTTATCTTCTCACTCCTGGTTTTTATCCACCTTTAGCTTTATCAAGCAGACTTTTAAAGGTTCAGCAGCAAGTGCGCCACGCATGACTGTCAAAGCTTGTTTGTGAACATTGTCAGCATCACTTCCATCAATCAGTGTGAACTAATAATATAAAAGCAATCGTTATAATACTTTTTGTATAGGCCTACATTTTAATTCCTTTGTTTAACACCTCTATCGGATTATTAGACAGACTTCTATCAGTATTAAGACGACAGCGAACAAGAGGGAGAATTTGAGCACTGTGCTCAGGCACTGCCGCTCTCAGCGCCGTCAAAATAAAAGTCGAATGCATCGGCCAAACAGAAAAACTTAACGGCCGATGCCGATATTTGAAAAAAATGCCAATATATCGGTCGACCACTACTTCACATATATATGGAAATGTTTGCTGTATATTGGCAGGACTGAGCAATAAAAATTTGGATTAAATTGACAACATGGTCTGTCAAAATGGCACAATAATTACAAAAGCGAGATGTGATTGTTTCTTCCATTCAGGCCTCCTCTTGGTTTACAATGCTGAACCATTTCTCCTCAATGCAATGAAAATGCAGTTAGCTTTCATTGTCATTCAACATTTGGCATGGGAATTGTACAATCCTCAGTCCGTCTTGTTATTTTCCAGTGGCATGGCTTCAGTGTGGTTACTCAGCACTTGTTGAAGCAGAGCTCGATAAGAGATGGCAGGAAGATACAGGAAGGCATAAACAAGCAGAAGCAGCAACAGGGCGACCAGCAGAGGAATCCCCCAATCAGAGGTGACTAGCGTCTCATCGCAGCGGGCCTGCAGGAACGACTGCTGCATGATTCTACCGCACCAATCACAGAGAGAACACAAACACACGCGTATATCAATAAGAAACTTCAGAAACATGTTATGTGTCTAGATTATATTGCCCTATCTAATCTAGACTAGTAGGGTTAGATTCATTATTAAATATCATTGACAATATACAATTAACCGACGTATTCATTTGGTTCACTCAGTTTGATTCATTTCCAAAAAGCTGTCTGTTTCAATGCAAAACACTGATTGTGGGGTCATTACAATTTTTTTGTAATCTCTACAGCAAAGAATTAAGTAAATATTACTCTTTGTTACATACTATTACATTTAGTGTATTTTTAGTGAAAACACTTTTTTACTAAAACCAGTAAGAAATGAACAGTAAAGAAATTAATTAGTTTATTCAGAAAGGATGCATTTCCAATAGCCCAAATTGTTCCCTTGCTTATCTTCTCACTCCTGGTTTTTATCCACATTTAGCTTTATCAAGCAGACTTTTAAAGGTTCAGCAGCAAGTGCGCCACGCATGACTGTCAAAGCTTGTTTGTGAACATTGTCAGCATCACTTCCATCAATCAGTGTGAGTGGTAGGACACGGTAAACCACAGACAGGATTGTAGGTATTTTTATATACTTGAGTGATGAACATGTGCATCCATGCATGAGGCAAGTAACAAAAACCTCCAAGTTCTCATCTGAGAGAATCGCCAAAGTGAAACAGAGGACGGAGAATAATAAAAAAAGGGGAAGAGTAGGGGAGGGAGAGACAATAATCTGGAGACGCAGCCTAATCTCTCATAAATCGTGATGAACAGGTAAACACATGCAGAATCTCTCAGCGCTGTGTGTGTTATTGTGTATTCTTGTGATGAAGTCTGAGTTGCATAACAGAACAATATGTCTGTAGATCAGGGTAATGTTGTTTGTGTATGTGCATGTACTCACGGCTCCAGAACATAAGTGTACTGTCCCTCTGGTGTGCGGTCCTGTCTATAGGTCAGGTTATAGTTGATCATGGTGTCAATCAAATCATAGAGCTGCTGCTTCTCCCTAGTGCTGTAAAGCTGAGGGTTGACCTGTAAGAAACACATCACGATTCACCAAGGCTGCATTTATTTGTTAAAAAAAATACAGTAAAAATGGTAATATTGTGAAATTTTATTTCATTTTAAAATAACCTTTTTCTGTTTTAATATATTTTAAAATGTAATTTATTCCTGTGATGGCAAAGCTGATTTTTCAGCATCATTACTCCAGTCTTCAGTGCCACATGATCCTTCAGAAATCATTCTAATATGCTGTGATTTGATGCTCAAGAAACGGCCAGCTATCCAGTTCAATTCAATTCAATTCAAGTTTATTTGTACAGCGCTTTTCACGATATGTTGAAATCCAGTGCGTTGTGATTGGCCGGGTACCTCAAGCGTGTGATGGAAATGTTACGCCCCTTACCATACTGTGATGCCGTGTCCCGGCACGACCAGACAAAACCAATAAAACCCATTACAAACGAGGCATTTTTTGCATCCAGTGGGGACATAATTACGGATTATAATGATTTATACTGTCTTTTTACGCGCTGCGTTGCATCGCGCCGCGTAAACATAAAACCATGTCTGCATTTGTGATCGGAGAAATGACAAACAACAAGCGCTACTCTACACTGCTCAAAACTCGCGTTTGAATCGTCAGTGGCAAATTCTTTAAATGAAAACGTACTTACAGACTGTGAGTCAGAACAGCCGGCATTGTTGTCTACTCTACCAGGATGAGGAAACAGTCCTCCACAGTCCTCCATATCTTAATATTTGGGATGAACTGTTCTGGAACAGTGTTGTAAATACAACTTAACCACTGATTTCTAGTTGTGTCCTTCCAAAAGAGACCAAACAAAGTAGTTACGCTTTCACAACGAAACACACGGCGGGCTAAACACAGCGCCTTCACGACATGGCGGCGGCAACAACAATACTACAACGTGAATAAAAGTTACGCCTTCTTTCTTTGTGTGAACATTTGGGCGGTGTTATGCAAATCTTCCCACATAGTGTGGGGGCGTGTTAGAACGAGCCATTTTAGGTAGGCGTGGTTGACTCTTAACTTTTATAAAGAATATCTCTTTGGATTTGAGACTTTAGTCTTTGCAACTTTACAGATCTTCTTTATGCACCAAGAGCTTGTAACACTCCAAAGAGAAAGGAAAAATTTAAATCGCATCATATGACCCCTTTAATATTATAAGTGTTGAAAACAGTTGTGCTGCTTAATATTTTTGTGGAAACGGTGATAATTTTTTTTCAGAACTCATTCAGTTTGATTCATTTCCAAAAAGTTCTTATTTTGAACTGTCTGTTTCAATGAATCAGTGCAAAACACTGATTCTGGGGTCATCACCTAAAAAAATGTTGACCGAAATCTCTACAGCAAAGAATTAAGTAAATATTACACTTGGTTAAATACTGTTGCCTTTAGTGTATTTTATATTGCAATATGCTTATAAATAAATGTGCTCATTTAGTGAAAACACTCAATTTTTAATTAGGCTCTGATGAATAGAAAGTTTAAAAGAACAGCATTTTTGTAACATTATAAATGTCTTTGTCACTTTTAGTCAATTTCATGTGTCCTTGCTGAATTTATTTTATTATTTGTTTGTTTGTTTTTCCAAAAAGAAAATAAAAACATCTGACTCCAAACTTTTGAACAGCTGAGTATCTTACAAGGAAGCATAATTATAATAAATATAGAAAAGTATACTTCCTGGTATACTAAGTATACTTCCTGTTGTGTGAACAAGTGTTCACTACTGTGATGCTAAGCAGGCAGCACACTAGGGTTTACAACAAATTTTGTTATTTTTACCTTGTTTGCACACACACTGAAAAAGAGTTTTGTTAAAACAATTTTACCTCAGAAATTGCTACTAAATTTCACAAATAATTACAAAGAAACGGCAAGTAACACAGACAAGAAATTTTGAAATAGAAATAGTATTTTCTTGTAAAACATTCTCCAATAGTCTGTTTTATTTACAACTTTGAAAAATTATTTTTTACACTGCAGTCACTCTGCACTTTTTGCATGATGCAATTTATAAAATATATATATAAAAAAAGTTTTGTAGACTTTTTGCAGTCTGTATTGGATTCAGTGTGCGGCTAGCCACCTTCTTGTTCTTTTACACTGCAGACTGTAAAATCACTCACCGGCCGCAGTTTGGGGGAAGATGAGCTCCAGGAGAAGGCTGAGGATGTCCAAACAGAGACTGCTCATAGAAATTCGGCTCTGTACAGCGGGTGGGATGTCATTCAACATGGCAAGCAGGGCGTTCTTGGTGTGCTGACTTTTGGTGAAAGCCTAGAAATGAATTTATATTAATTTATATGACATTTATTACCACTTTCAATTTACAATAAAAATGATAAATGTTAAGAGTTTATTATCATTATATAAAGATGTCATCCTATCTGATATCAGCAAACCCAGACACACAAATATCTGAATGTGCTTAAAAATTGATGGTACATATGATATGCAATTCGTTTTAGCATGAAAATAAAGAGGACTCATACCGTAAAATGAAATTACAGGACTTTCAAGGACTTTTCAAGCACTACTTTTTTGGTTTTCAAGGACTACAATCAGAAATGTAATTTATCTAACAAATTATATTTTAACTTCTACAAATGGTAAATAGCTAAATATACTAATAAAACAAAAAGATACAAATAAAGCACATGTAAAGTATGCAATGACTGTGGCGACTTTAACAAAGTGGAACATTAACAAAGCCTAATAACTTTAAGTGCATAGAAGAGCATGTGTAAAGAAGTCATAAATGTCTTACAAACGTTTATAAAAAGAAGCATAAAAAAAACATTCAATTTGTAAAATCATTGTAAAGCATAACATTTTTTGTAAAGCACTGTAACTAGTGACAAAGTAATTTCAGGATTCTCTGATGAATGGAAAGTTCAAAAGAAATGTCTTCACTGTAACCTTTCATCAGTTTTAATGAATCCATGCTGAATATAGTATTACACATTTGTTAAAAAGAAAAAAAGACCTAAATGATCCCAAACTTTTAAATGTTAATGTATGTGGAAAAACAGATGCTCAATGGCATAACACCAGTCATAGTCAAAGGAGACACATGAGGGCTGTGTTTTGAGGTTTTATGGTCAAGTGTGTAACTGGGACAGAGTGCTTTCATTTAATGAAAGGTAGAAAGGGAACGACAGGACATTAGGGTATTAAGGATAAGGGCGAATAGACAGCATGTGCTCTCACTGTCTATTGCATTCTCTCACCTCGTAGTGACTGTGTGGATAATTGATGCGTGGGACCGAGTTTGCAGCATATAGTTGGTGGAAGGCAGCGGGCAGGAAAGGGAAGTAGCGCATGAGCGAATAGTTCTGTCCGTGTAACACACACTCATTCAACATGTCAGAGAAACACAACCAGTCAAGACCTGCGCACACACCCAACATCCCTGGGTCCTTCAGCTTCATGCTGAGGAAGTTATCGTACAGGCCCTATGGAAGAGAGAATGTGAATAATTTTGGCTGAAACCACTCTTTTACATGGATTTTACAAGATATTCAAAGAAAGAAAGAAAGAATGAAAGAACTTTTCAAATAAAAAAAAATTGCAAAAAGAATTTTGTGAGGTTTTAAATAACAAAACATATATAGTTGTCAACTCAAAATTACACTTTCTGGTTGTCAAACATTATAGAAACATGACCATATTTATTTGTGATAAACTCCTTTGACATTTTGCTATCTTAAGCAAAGAAATTCAAGCATTTTCCCCCGGTTTCACAGACAAGGCTTAAAGGGTTAGTTCACCCAAAAATGAAAATTAGCCCATAAATTACTCACCCTCAAGTCATCCTAGGTTTATATGACTTTCTTCATTCAGACGAATCCAGTCGGAGTTATATAAAAAATTGTCTTTGATCTTTCAAGCTGTTTAATGCCACTCAGCGGGTGTTGCATGCATCAGTCCAAAAGAAGTTAAATAAAAAGCGCCCATCCATAAAAAAAAAAAGTGTCTCACACGGCTCCGGGGGGTGAACAAAGGCCTCCTGTAGCGAATCGATGCGTTTTTGTAAGAAAAATATCCATATTCAAAACGTAATAATCACGTTAATGTAGCTTGCGCCAACAGTTGTACACGGAAGCAGCTCCGGGAGGATGACGTATGAGGTCGGAGTTGCGCATGCGCTGGTGAGTCTCGTGAAGACCAACATTTGTTAACAGGAGCAAAGGAAGCAAAGTTTCCTTACTTTAGCAAAGGAAAACCAGTCTCCTCTTGGCTTATATCAAATCCTCCGACATTCTTCTTTACAAATCCTCGTTCTGTACTTCTAATAAGTGACCGTTGTTTTGTTTTGATCTCGCCCGCGTTTCCGCGTTCGTCACTTCTGAGCGGCGCATGCGCAAAGCTGACCTCATACGTCATCCGCCCGGAACTGCTTCCCTTCACAACAGTGAGCGCAAGCTACATTAAAGTGATTATTACACATATTCTGTTACACCAAATACACAAAATAATGATCTTTAAAAAAGCATCATATGACCCCTTTAAGCCACTTAAACATAGGACTTACAGGTCATTGCAGATGCAGATGATTGGTCTAAGAAGCACAGATTGCTTTTTCTTTTTCTTTTTCAAGGCATTAACACCTGACTCCTCTCCTTCTCTGCTATCCTTCCGGTTCAACGTCGCTAATAAGATATTAATGGCAGCCTGAGCCGATAAGAAAAAAAAAAAGTGAGAAGCAGCTACTATTAGACAGGCCAATGAATTATCTGATGTTAAATACACTAACCCCCGGTTTCACAGACAGGGCTTAAGCCTAGTCCTAGACTAAAATGTAAATGAGCTGTTTCAACTGAAAGAAACTTGCACTGACTGATCTTAAAACATGTCAGTGCATTTGTTTTGTTTTAAGATGAACACCAGTAATGCTTTTTTCTATGGCATGTTTATAAAAATTACTTAAAATGTCCTAATTGAACTATGGCTTAATCCTGGCTTAGGCTAAGCCCTGTCTATGAAACCGGGCCATAAAGTGTGATTTATGTGTCTGAATGCTTTTTGTGGGCACAATTCAAGTTTTTCATACTCTTTCTCCAATGAAGCCCAAAGTAGAGCATATCTATCATTACCTGAGTGAGTTTCTCATGCTCTCCATTAGATGAGACCAAATGTAAGATGTGCTGAATCCTTTGTGCGCTATCTTTAGGTCCCGCCTCATCAAAACCACCAAAAGGATCTCCACCAATCCGCTTCCTAAATCACCACAATATCAAACAATTACAGAGGTCATAAACTGAAGGATGCAGTAATTAGTGACACAATCTGATAAAACATCAAATTTAAAAACACCAGCTGACACTGGTTGACCCCCAACTTAATTCTTTAGTTTCTCTTTTAATGTTTAATATGAATGGAATGGAATGGAAACATTTTCATACTGTATCCCAAAAATCAGACAAAAATAAAGAAAATAACATGAAATAACATAAAAAATACATACTATTTGTGATAAAGAAAATAGAAAAATCCAGTTTAAAAAAAGCACCTTTTTTTAAATTGGGAAATAAATGAAAAAAAATCGAATCTGCATAAAGGTGGTATAATAAATATGAACGTGTTATGTAAACTATTTACAATTTAAATAATGTTTTTTTTTTTGCATTTGTTAAATGAGATTTTTTAAATTGGGAATTACACTTAAATATTGTCCTGTGCTATGACAAGTGAATTTTTAAAAACACATATATATATATATATACCATTACAAATTTTACAACTAATCCATGTAGTTTTTTCATCAATACGAGGTCAATCAATGTTTTCAATCAATTCATTCAAAGATTTAAAAGGGAGGGCTGTGTGAAAAGAGCATGTCCTTGAGTATGGCATATTTTGTTTTGCAGTACCTTTTCAGTCGAGGAAGCTGAAAGATTTCCTGCCAAACTGAGAAAAGTCCCTTGTTTTGGTCTTTCAATCCCACGGAGACTGAATTGACACTGCGCTGATCCAAGTGCTTCTGTCCACGACTGTGTAAAAACTGCACACAAAAAACATGAGCAAACCCATATTTGAACCAATTAGCATAAGCAAACCCAAATTTGAATTCTGGCATGTTTTTAGCACACATCTCTCTCACCTGTAATGTGTTGATGCAAGCACGGATGTCATTGTCAGTTTTCTCACACAAGGCCATTAGAGTGCCAGTATCTGCTTTCATACCCTGCCGCCTTGTGATCTGCAAACAGAAACAACAGCATGCATGGGTCCACATTCATGCATGCATTTACAAAATCATATTGTAGATATGCGAGTGTATGTGCATGTCACCTCTGCATTCATCTGTGTTGCGGTATCAATACGTTTCTGGAAGAGCTCTGCACTGCGGTCATCGCTAAGAAGAGAATAGCGCTATCAGCTTGTGAGTGTCAACATTTATATGTGGATACTTCTACTTCAAGAATCGTTACAATAGGGCTTGCATCCTCTTACCTAGCGTTAATTTCTACTACATTGTAACCAGCATGATTTGCGATAATGTGTGCTAGCGTGGTTTTCCCCAGTCCAGGAGGACCTGGTAACAGTGCCACCTGTGTAGTATGACACACACAGTTAAACAACTTACGTATAACATGGTAAAAATAAGAATTACACACCTCTTGGCATTAAATTCACTACTTCTCTGATGGTGAAACCATGTCTCATGCAGCTTATGTTCATATTTTACAATGAAAATCACCTATTCACTGTCAAACGTCAAATCAAATAATTGACAAATAATTTGGTAAATTTAGTGACCTAAACTTCAAAATGTAAAATACTTATCTAAATATGAATTTTAAGAATTTGCATATTTATTAGCTAAAGCTTGCTGTCTCAGCGGCCTCAGAGCTGGAACATACCTGACAAGAGTATGGGTAAATACTAAATAGTAAATAGGTTACATTTTTTCCTTTCATCAAAGTAACCTTTTCACATAAAAATACAGCATTTTTCGTATTGATCTTCCAGTCGTAGTTTAAATTATGAAGGTGATGCATAACAAAAATCAACATTTGTTGAACATTATTTGTATGTTTTCTGAAAGTTAAACAGTTCGCTGGAAAAATGTCAAATATTTCAAACATACCAAAATGTTGACTTAAGCGGCGCATCGAGCAAAATATTACTAATGCACGTTTATTCAAAGCAATTGAATTATAATAACATTTATAATTAAGTTGCTTAAACAACTATAAACAAAACAGCATCATGTATGTGTGCATAATTTAATACAAAGGGCCAAAAGCCAATCACACGGAGTACATTTTTCATTTAAAAACACGAATTGCAGTGGGATGGGGAAAAAACCTGCCATAAAGTCTCGAGATATGTATTTTCAAAGTTGACCTTGCATTAATTTTACATGGCTTTCTAAACATGCGGCTGTTTTGTGCGAGATGCGAGTGCAACGGTGATAGACGTCCCTCTAGAAAATGCGTGAAATATGCGTTCTGTGTGAACAGCTTGGTTTCAGTTTTGAGGTAAACAAGATCTTCTCTGCATTGATGTTCTCTTTTCCCACAATATTTGTAATTAACAACGCAGCAGCGCCGCATCTAGTGGCTTCAACTGGATAGGTTAACAAAAACATTAAAATGCAACGACACTTACATCGTCATCGCATCTCGTGCGCCGCTGATAAGGCTGCCTCCTTAATGCACACCTAAAATTCGAATGCAACGTTTTTGCATTCGAATGTGGATTTTTATTTTAAATTCGACGAATATTCGAAATTCACATTTTTTTTGACAGCCCTAATACACACACACACATACATAGAGTGCCCTCCATAAGTATTGGAACAGTAAAGACAAAATTGCTCTGCTTGCTGTGGAGTAAAGTCATTTGCAAACATGATTACAAGATTAATATGAGACAAAACTACAGAAAGTCACATTTTATTATTAGCTGTTTCAACACATACATATTTTACCAAATAAAAAGGACAGCACTTTTAGAGTTCATCCCACTATCTGATGTGAGCATAAGTATTGGAACAGTTGAACTTAAGACAGATGTAAAAGATTAAAAGCTATTATTTAGTTGCAGATCTCTTGCGTGCAATCACAGCAGTGAGTCTGCGACTCATAGACATCACCAGACTCTTAGTCTCATCTTTTGAAATGCTTTTCCAAGCCTGTAATGCAGCCAATTCCAACTGTTGCTTGTCTTGGGGAGTTTCTGCCTTTAGTCTCCTTTTCAGCTGGTGAAATTTATGTTCAATCGGATTTAAATCTGGAGATTGATTTGGGCAATCTAAGACTTTACATTTCTTTGCCCTGATAAACTCCTTGACTGAACTGGCAGGGTGTTTTGGCTCATTGTCCTGATGCAATATGAAGTGCTTCCCAATGAAACTGGTGGCATTTCCTTGAACATTGGTAGCCAAGATGTTTCTGTATACTTCTGCAATCATTCTGCTACTGTCATCATATATTAAGTCATCATTAAAGTTGAGAGGGCCTGTTCCAGAGACAGCTATGCATGCCCATGCCATGACACAACCTCCACCATGCTTTACAGATGAGGCTGTATGCCTTAGGATCATTTGCAGTTCCCTTTTTCTCCACACTTTTGCTTTCCCATCACTTAGATAAAGGTTAATCGTTGTCTCACCTGTCCATAAAACTCAGTTCCAAAACTCGACTGGCTCACATTTGTGCTTTTTTGCAAACTTGCTAATCAGAGGTTTGCATCTTGCTGTGTAGCCTCTGTAATTCTGTGTCGAAGTCTCCTGCGGACAGTAGATTGTCAGAGCATCACCCCAGCTTTCTTTGCTGATGTCGCCGGTGGTTTCCAAACTCTTGATTTCTCCATGCATTTTGTTTTTTCTATAACTCTAATTGAGTTCCTCTTTGCTTTTAGCATCCATAATGCTTTTTTTTTTCTCTCGAAGTCAGCTCCCTCGTCTTCATCCTGGTTTGTGTGTGTCGTCATCGAATGCAAGACTCAGAATGCAGAAGCAATGGATATAACTGATAGGAGGACACATTCCCTGCTTTGAATACCTTACCAATTAATTCAACAGGACACAGCTGATCACTTAGAGAGACCTGTGAGACAACTGTTACAACACTTATGCTCACATCAGATAGGGGGATGAAACTTTAAAAGTGTTGATCTTGTTAGTTGGTAAAACGTGTATGTGTTGAAACACCCAATAATAAAATATGACAATTTGTAGTTTTGTCTCATATTCATCTTTTAAACATATTTACAGATTTCTTGACTCCACAGCAAACAGAGCAATGTTGTCTTTACTGTTCCAGTTCTTATGGAGGGCACTGTATATATATAATTGTATTTATATGTAGGCTACACACACACAAATGCTGCAAAATGTATCTCATGACAATATTATGAATCCTTTTCTGACACTAACAAAGAGCAATGGCATTCAGATATTCTATTCTTCAGAGAATACCGTGGTACTACTATGGTAGATATATATTTTTAGACATGACACAGAAATCTAAAATGCGATGTAAACTAGATTTAAATACTTTTAGGAGGAGCAGTCAGTCGTTATACCATCAGACAGAGAGTTAAGACAGATATTAACATATCTGTCTAACTTACGTTCCATTTCAGCCATGACTTCCAATTCATCCGCAAACTGTTGTTCAAAATCATCTTCAATCCCGTACATTTCATCATATTCGTCCATGTTTGCGGTCTCTCGAATGTTTTGACAGGAAATTTACATGTAACCTGACATATGAATAAACAAGTAGTAACTTAGAGCGCATATACATCGACAACAGAAATTTTCGCGCAAATTTTTTGTGTACATAAATTTACTTCCGGTTTTATTGTAAGACCTACATCCGCTCGATAAAAGTCCTGGACATGGTAAATTAAATAAACAAAGGAGAATACAACAATTTAAGATTTATATTAGAAAATAGTCTGTTTGAAAACTCTATCATCAGCCTTTTTTGAACTGTCATTTTCCAATGTATTATAATTGCACATTTACAATAGATTAAATTGATATGAAATAATGTAATTTCCTAAATACTGTATGCACTAAAACAATGATATGCATTGTTTAATGTATTTTTCATCAAATCTGTCATTCCCTCGTTTCCCTTGCTTCTGATTGGCAGACAAACTGAGGGGGCGGGCATTATGTAAACAATGACAAACAGAAATATCCAATCATTCCGCTAGAACGCAAGTGTTTTGCATATGTCCCAGAACGCTCGCACAGAAGGGGAGTAAACCCTCCTAAAATTTGAGTTCTTATTATTTTGAATGTACTCCAGATTTCCCCTATACCGCTCTACGATATAGCAGACTTGTTATATAATTAATTTGTTGTCTAAACCTTTTGTTACCGCCATGTGCTTTAATAGCCAGTATCTGAACTCTATATCTTGTCAATTTCCTCTGCATGTTCGTGTTGTCTGGGACAACACATATACTAAAATTGGATCGATACAGAGAAGATTAGCATGGTCCCTTGCGCAAAGATGACACGCATAATCGTGAAGCGTATCCAATCTTTTGGAAATTACTATATATTCTTGTTCATAAGTGCTTTCAATCGTTTCTAAAACCTTCATCCATATAACCAAAGTCCGTTTAAGTATCTTCTATAGTCCTTGATATTACAGAGAATACAAAAACAACAATTAGGAGAGACAAATCTTTCTACAGCTTGTTGCAAAGACAAACGCCAATTCTTTTATAAGCACACATATTTTAATACACATATAGGCTATATTTTTATACACACAAACACACACACACACACATAATTATGCAGGTGTCTTTAAACTGTATCAGTGGGTTCCTTTTAAGGATATCGTTTGATGGGCTTGACGCTAAAAATCTTGCACAAGAGGGCAGCAAAGCTCATGGTATGTAAATATATTTTCGTAAATTTTGAGGTTATACCACATTTTATTAAAACACATTTAATTGGTTTAAATGTTCTACATGTTTTAATTACATAATTTGTTGGCCACAATAATGTTATGGTATATTTTGTTACCTTGTACATCCTTGTTGTTTAGTTTTGTTTTATTTATTTATGTATTTGTTTGTTCTTTTTATTTATTTATTTATTTTATTTTTTTGCCACAGCTTTAATGTATGTATCTACAAAGAAGTTACATTCACTTAAGAGACAGCTAGCTCAGATTACATTATCACTCTGTATGTTGCAATCAGTTTAGTTATACAGGCTTGGTAGAATGTATAATTCTTATGCTTTAAATAACTATG